TATTTTGTCAAGTTCCGTTATATTATTCAAATGACTTGCGTCAATAGTCACATCAGTTATGTGGGAAAAATTTGCATTGGGATTTAGAGCCGCTTGTACCATATTTCGTCCTTCTTGTCTAAAAATATTGCTAACTAGTCCTGTCACTATATTTGTCAATTGATCCATATTAAATGAGCCTGAAGAGGAAGCAGTTGGTTGGGAAGATAAATTAGGCAAAGGTGTGTTAAGCACAGGGGGTCGGACAAGGTTGTTAGGGTTTGCCATTTTTTGTTTTTTTTATTATTATTTTATATGTATACTTCTTCTTTATAATTCTCTGGAGGGTCCCTTGGGTCGTGAATCGCAGAGAATTTTTTTATTATAAGCTGGAGGGTCCCCCCGAAGGTGGTGAATCGCAGCTTCGAATTATATTTTATTATAGGCTGTACAAGCCTTATTTAAACAATTTTTTTGTTATATTGCAAGCCTTAAATATCTTAAAATCACTTAAAATTTTAATTGATTTCCAATTTAATTTAATTTTTAAATTTTAATTTAATTTTTAAATTCCTTTTCGATTCTAATTTTTTTTCAATGTTGGATACTATGTTTAATTATCTACTTTTTTTCAATTGGTTAGTTTTTTCGATACGATTTTAATTCACAAAAAATTTAATTTTTAAATACTATTCTTAATACTATTCTTACATTAATCACTTCCTGGCGGTGGGGTGTAGATCCTCTTTGCGTTGGCTACTAGGGCACCTCCTATCCTTCGCACATTGGAAGCGCGCGTTCGTTTCCTATAGGAATTCAACGCTGACCGGCTCTATGTTCGCTTGGTTATTCCACTTCTTGAGCGCGCTTTATTGAAGGGTTATTTTCGTCTTAGCGCGCTTTGTTGAAGGGTTAAAGTCTCGTATTAGCGCGCTAAGTTGAACGGTTAAAAAAAAAATCTTTTTTAGCGCACTTTGAGTAAACTTTTTCACTAAACCGTGCTTTAAATCGTTACACTGCTTTAACGCGAACTTTGGCCGGTCCCTGCTCGGGCGCCAGTTAAAAATTTATATTTTCTTTTTAATTTTTAAAAAAGCTCTGGCGGACTCTTGTCCGCTCATGCTCCACTTTATTTGAATCCAAACTTAGATTAATTACAATAATTTGCCTAACTTAAAATTACACCTATTATTGGCCACGATCACGTTGCACTTCCGTGTGCGCCTTATTTGTTGTTATTGCTAAATCGATGTTCTTGCTGACTGTTATTTATTATTTATTGTTGATTGTTTGCTGACTGTTGTTTTGCCCAAATAATTATTGAAGTGTCAGGGTCTATGCGGATGCGCGTGTAAAAGAGTTTGCCATTGCAAAAGTCACTCTGGTGGAACTTTTGCAAGCCGTGGTGTTAACTTATACCTATGTATTTACACGAGTAACTGTGAATGTGCGAGAGTGGCTAACGGGTACTATTTTAAATGTACAAGCTTGTACAGTTAGCGCCAATAATTTTACGAATTTTTAAATTTTTTTGAAAATAGTTATGATGGGTATGTGTGTATATACATATGTATGTATGTATATGCCCGTGACTGTTACTTTGAATATGGGATAAAACGGAGCTAACTGTTTATTATTTTGTACAAGCGAGTACAGTTTTTTAAATATTCAAATCTGTTTTGCAAAAGGTATATATCTATATGTGCATAAGGGTTTGTACACATATAGATTATATGTATATACGCAAATTTTTTATTATCGTATTTTACTCACTCCGCCATGGGGTTTGGTTTTACTTAGCTGTTCCTTCTTTCCGGGTGGGCCTGGTTGATTGGTGGTGTTGTTGTTGGGTGTTTCTGCGCCTCTTGCTGATGTTGTTGTTGGGTGTGTGGTGCGCCAAGTGCGTTTCTAATCGCTTGACGCTTATGCTCAAACCAATCTTGTCCACCAGCAGCCGAAATGGATTCAGCTTCACGTAGTATAATCCTTTCCGCTGTTGTTGTTGTTGTTGATGTTGTGGATGAGATAGAGGATGCTGATAGCTTTATTGGTGAATATTGAGTTGTTGTTGACGCAGATGCTACCGTTGTTGAACGCTTGGTCGGACTGCCAGTGATGGTGGTGGCCGTAGAATCTGTGCCTTTTAACCGTTATTTATGCGCAAATACGAGAATCACTTTTTCTTAGCTGCGGGGCGTCAGGAACTTGCACATTTCCTTTTTTGTTTTACAATATTTGGCACTGCTGCTTGAACGCAACTACTTCATCTATTCAAAGCACTTTTTCAACAGTTATTCACTTCCACATACATAAATATACATTGCATATAAATAAACTTCAACACAAAAACAAATTAATTTNGTAAGGCGTGCAAAATTGCTACGTATTTGTGTTGAATTTGTCAATTGAAGAAACGGTTAGGTAATATTGTTGTAATTTTATTAAATTTAAATTTAAATTGCATATATTTGATTTAACGCACATCACTTTTTGAAACCACACTTATTTCCTTAGCGTAAAATATACGTTTTATCGCTTTAATATGAATTTTTTTTAGCTGGCATTTGTTTGAAATCCTACGCACATTTATGTATGTAAATTAGCCTAAAATTTGTTTTTATTGTTGTCAATATGAATTTAATTCAGATATATATATATATTTTTTTTTTTTATAAAAGCACATTTCATTTAATTTTTCACAAATTCCCACAAGTTTTCGTGTTTCGTAAGCGCACAAAATAATTAATACATTAATTTTCAAGTAACCGTAACCGAACCGTTCGCTTTGCTTATTTCGCTCAACTGAGTATGATTAAAAAATGTGCTATGGCCGTATTGCTCAAGTCAGTGATGCCAATTCTTTTTGATGGCACCGAAGGACCATGTATAACTTTGCTTGCGGTGTAAGATTGGTCCCCTTTTTTATAGAATGATGAGAACGGGGTTTTGGTTTTTTCTTCAGTTATTTTTTATTGAGATCAAATTATTTAATTCATTAAGTTTTATATAATTGACAGGATTTTGAATTTGGTTTATATTTATTAGTTAAGATAGCAATTTTGATTGTTATAAAAAGGAAGATTGTATGTTTTTAACAATTTTTAATTTAAATGTTTAAACTCAAGTGACGAGGAGCGATAAGCGATTCACGGTGTTGAGGCACTGCGGGTTGAACATCGAATGAGTCGATGGTAGTGCTTACGGCTACATTAGCCGGGTATAAATTACAAGAAAAAGGTTGCGGGTGCTGATGATTTGGCGACACTGGGCAGCCCGATGAACGCCTAGCGGCGTTGCCACCCGCGAAGGACGACCATGGCTTACTCCGAAAACGTTAGGAGGTCCATGTCCTCAACAGATATTATGAGCTCTTAATCGCTATTACTAGTAAGTAACCAATAATTTGCTCGTTAGGCTCAAAAAAACTGTTTGCATTAGTTCAAGGTTATTTGCCATGCGAAGCTATCAACATTTGCATTGTATTTTTTATACTTTTTGTTTTCATTCCTATTTACAATAACAATTTTAATAACATCATACACTCTTCTTTTCCAGGTAGGTACTCATTCGGGGACAGTAGGCGGTGGTTGAGGATAGCAATTGCTGGAAGTTGCAGGAGTTTCACGAAAAATCAAATACGTATGTACACACTTTGAATAACAAATATTTACAAAGGAGTTTGAGCACACATCGAAAGCAATTACAATATCGTATAAGTAGAGAAGCTTGTGCATTGGAGATGAAAACAAAATAAAAGAAATAAAAAGAAAAAAAAAACACAGCAACAATGATTTCAGCAGCTTTAGTATTCAGTTACTTCATTGCAGCAAAGTCACTTCAAAGGTAAATCCATATCATTTAATTTCTATAAACAATAAACTCTTTAAATTCTTTCTAAAGCCAATATTTTTAGGAAAGTTATTTACGTTGGTCTACGCATGCTTTAATAGTTTATTCGAGGTTTGTTGCAATCCTTTTCCAGATCTAGATTAATGCCTTTTGACAATGAAAACAATGTTTTATAAAACGATAAGTATTCCATAAGCTCAACCACCGCGAAATGCCAGAAACTAAGCTTGTTTAAAAACATATTTCGTATGACCGTATTCGTTAACAATATATGATTTTTCTCTAACCAACTATTTTTAACAACAGTGCATGAACACTTAGCTACAAAATTTTACAATTTTGCCTTTGAGTATGCAGATTGAGTGTCAAAAGCTCGATGTGAATTCAGTTCCTTCAATTTTGCAACACCAAGATAATTCGTTTTAGAAATCGTGTATGAACATTTGAGGTTTACTCTCGACCAAATTCGAAAGGCAGCTCCAACGACAACAATTTACCGCTGCTTCGACTTCATGGATATATTCAAAGGCGACAGCTGAAACGACGTTGTTATTGCTTTGCTTATGGTAAACTGCAGCAGCATAAACGCAGGTGTTGACATGCCGCAACAATATCGACACATCGTGTTGACAAGAGCAACCTAACGGCGTGTGACGCTACAAAATTTGTGCTGACATTGAAATTGACAGCTGTGATGATGGCGGCGCTTGCTGCTGTCGCTGGTATTGCTCTGGTATTTTCGCTGTTACAGCTTGTGTGACGTGTGAGTTTGGCATAACAATAAAGGCGTCATTTGCAACTGATGTTACGCTCATAACTGTTGCATGTTCATGCTCTTTTACATCTGTTGATATGGGTAAATGGTGTGCACTTACTACTGACTCCACAACTTTTCCTTTTCCTCCTCCATTCGTTGTGCTAAAAGTAGCCGTCGACGCGGATGTTCCTGCACTAAATATAACTCTATCTGAATTTTCATGGTTGTCCTCATCGCTACCGGCGTCAACATTTGCATTGCTCTCGGCGAAACGCGCCAAAATACGTACAAGCGCGCCATTCATGAAGCTCAGTAAAACACCATCGTTTTCTAGTCGCTGTTGTTGCTGCTGTTGCAGTGGCGGTTGTTGGTGTTGCAATAATTGCGGCGGAAAGTCAGGTTTTCGACCGCGCTCCGCCGAGTCGCTGTTGTGTTATGGAATTTGTAGTAGCGCTAGGTGGGCTGCTGCTTCGGTTGCATTTTTGTTGGAACGTGCACGATCCAATGACTCCTTAAGCAGGCGTTCACTTTCTTGACGTACTGTACGAATGAGAATAGAACAAAAGAAAACGGGAGAGAGGGGAGAAAAAGAGAGTTATGTTAGTTTATGGGGTAAATAAGTGGTCAAGGTAATTATGTGAGTATTTAACATAAAGGTTAACTCAAATTGAAACTCAGGAATCACTTAATTATTGTATCTTACGCATTCGAGCTTTTTTGGTATTTGGCATTGAAATCATTTATATTGGGCAGGGTATGTACACTTTCGTTGATCACAATCACTTGTTTTGTTGTCATTTTGGCATGAACATGCTTATTTGAAGATTTTTGTTTGAACTGCGATTGAAGTAAATGCCTGTTGATGAGTATTTATAAACTCTCATCAATCCAGACTATTTACTTTAAGCACAGTTTAACATGTAACGGTAGCGTTTAATGAGAGAACTGGTTAGTACATTTATTGGTAGATTAAAATATTTTTTAAAAGAGAAAACTGTATACAAAATTGTTAAAAATGTCTTGTGTAGTATTTTGTTCATTGCAGTATCTAACCTCTTCTTAATTCCATTGGAGCTTAGCAAAATATCTGACCCTTCACAAAAAAGGTTTGTAGACTACTCTTTTAGAAAAATTTTACAAAACCTAACTGGGTTATAAATAAAAATTTTTAAACTGCAAGAGTATACCTCTCCAAACTCATGTTTAGCTTGGGCCATCGCGTCTAGAGCGCTTTAGAAGCAAAGAATAAAAAAAAATTAAAGAGTATTTCAGTATTTTTTTGAGGCCAAAAATCGCTTAAACCTTGAAATTCCAATTACATACTATACATTCTTCTGAAAAGGGTTGCCATATTGCTGTTAAATGTTTATCTGATGTGATTTAAACGTTTTTTCACCTTTTCCAATTAATAGCAGCAACAGTGTTAGTAAAGAGAGAATTTTCAAAATGCACCGCACCACAACCTTTCTTTTCGAAATTAAAAGCCACTTCAATATCCACGACGCCTCATATACAACAACTTAAAAGCATTTCTCTGGAACTGAAGGCCTTTAAATTTAATTAATCTGTAAATAAGCATAAAAACTCACAGCATAAGCCTGCCTTGCATCAAAGCACATTTGTGCATACGTTCTTATGTATGCAGAGTATGTATGTATGCACATTGTAATCCCACACTCAACGCTGGAACAAATTAATTTGCACACTTTGCATTCTGTTTGCTTTTATGTTGCCACAAGTCAACTACTACATAATACAACAATAAAGTAACCGAAAAGTAACAACAACAAACACATATTTTCTGCATTTTGCCAATTTGTGCTACAGTGGCTGCTTTCAAGGTGTCACTATCGATGCTGCCGTTGCTGCTGTGGCATGTAACGAGCATGTCAATATGGCAGTCGCACACACACACACATACACACACACACACACACACACACACATCCACACATATGACAAAATGTCGAGCGAACAGCTTTATGCGGCGTGTGTGCGCACAAATTACTGAAAATTTAATTAAAAATTTGTTTGAACGTTGGCTTCTGTGGACGAGCACGAATGCCGAACTCAAAACTTAATAAGGAAACTAGAGTGAGAAAGAGAAAGAGAGAGATAGAGATAGAGAAGGATAGGGAGAGACAGAGAGGAAAGAAATTGAAATAAAAAATTAAGCAAAAATAGATTACAAAGTTAATAATAGTGGGACAATGAAGTGAGGACACCTGCACAGCCAAAACTGAACCCAGCGCACATAAAATACTTCAAAACTTACATACAGAGATATTACCTTCGGCTTAAGTAGTGTATAAAGGCAAAATGATAATTTTACAACTGATAACTGAACATTTTAACATACTGGCGGCCGCAATAGCCGAGAGGCTACTAACAGCTCGCACACAGCTCGAGTCCTTCTGAGATAAAATTAAGCTGCTCGGAGGCCGCTTAGCATGAAATATACGTCACTTCACTTATTGCAAGAAATTTTAAGCGGTTATAGATATTACTTACTGATATGCTAATGAATAGTAGGTCGGTTGAATATAATGTCAAAGGTTCCCTAAGATGAAAATAAAATGCTATGGTTTGCTGGGAAGTGTCATAATGTTGGCAAATTGAAAGAGTTGATTGAAAAATTTCGCATGGCAAAGTTGCCTGAATGACGAATTTTTCGCATACCCGAACGAGCCAAGCGCCCCGCAGGGCAACGCAGCATGAACAGCGTCTCTTCTCACTTTTGGCTTTATTAATTTCATAAGCTTTTGTAGTCATACAGTTTGAAGGCAGTTATAAAGCGTGGGCTGATCATTGGCTTACTATGTGTGTGAGTATGAAAAGTAATGGCCTTGAACAAAAACAATTCACGATGAGAGAATATTACAACGTGAAATTAGCAGTAGAAGATAAAAGAAGAGAGTAAACGTGTAAAAAACTAGTGAAAAATTCATACTCGTCGGTGTAATTTTTCACTGTTTTTCTCTGCTCAGTTTTGCTTGTGATTTCAGTTAATTCAATTAGATAAATAGTGGCGGCAACCACACATATTTACACGCCCCGGCAGCAACACGCAGGCGTCTGTTGGCAAACTTTTGCACTCAGCCCTCGGCCCTCAGCTGTTGGCCGTGCTGTGCGCAGGCATTGTGGTTGGGTGTCTGTTGTTAATTTGTTTGTTTTGTGTTGTTCGAAGTTGTACTTCAAAGTTGTACGGAGTGTAGCACACACACACACGCATACCTTTATAGGCACACACACACACATGATAATATATATGTGTATATAAGTTGTACTTAGAAAGGCCTTCATCTGCTGCCAATTTTCACTCAATTATACTTTTTCTTGCGGTCAAATTGGTTTAAATGGCTTAAACTATTATGAAGGCGTACAGAGGGGCAAACTGAACTTGGTAGGTCGGCTGCTGGCTTGTGCAACAATGTAGCAACATTTCAACTGACTCTTGGCATGCTTTCGTGCCCGGCATCTATATACTCGTATATATCGGTATCTATGCTCCTTATAAATATGTAAATTTATATTGGTATAAAGATATGCATGTGTATGTGCCCAGAGCAGCACTGGCCTGTGGTTTTGAGCACTGCGTGTGTGCTCGTTTGCAGATGTTTTGATGCTATTGTTCTTAAAGAGTTGAACCTCTTTTGGGTGGGCAAAGTTTGTTCGAATGATTTTTTTCTTCTTAAATTGTGGCTTTTTGTACAGTGTTTGGGAACTTTTTGTGAAAGAAAGGAGGTAGAATGGTGTGAATGTATGTTTATCAAACTCTCAGAAAAGTGAATACTTTAGAATTTAAGTGATTTTTTACTCGATTAAAAAGAATAAAGTTCTAAAATTTATTGGGGCGAAGCTTTGTCAAGCGGCCCTTATTCGTCTTCGGGTTCTGGCTTTCGGACAAATGCACTAGACGGTTCAGAAAATTTCCATGAATGTCTTATTGCTCTCGATAGCGTCTATTTATTTTCGGATCATGCTGTTTAAAGTGCCGAGCTATAGCCCTGAGCATTGTAAAGACGATTAATCAATATTAACAAAAACAATAAATGGATGGCAGATCCCACGTTGTCTTCTCTTGGACAAACATCAGATCAGTGAATGGTGAACCAACACCAGACCAAACATGCGTATAGCCATGCCCATTTGGTTTGGTAGTGACCGCGGCATATGATTGAAAGTTTCACAGTAAGTCTTATACAGGTTTCTCATTCCTACTACACGTACTGGGAAAGAGTAATACAGGGTCTTTAGGAGGTTAAAGCTCTTGTTTAACGTACCATTTCAATCCTTGGTGGGGTGTGGTCTATTCAGGGTATCGTATATGTAAACTGGTTATTCTCACTAGATTTCGGTAGACGATAGATTTTACCAACCCCTCGGGAAATGGTAAAACTTTCATTGCAGGGCGTATTCTTTATTTGCCTGGGTTAGCTACATTTAACCCATTCTATACTCAAAAGTCGATATCATCAATTTTCGGCAGATATTTAAGTGATTTAAGCTGAAAGAAAAATTTTGAGTTACAAATTATGCTTGTTGTTCTCTCTCCTTGGATATCTTTCGATTGTCTAAAGTGTGCACGAATCACAGAAAAAGAGAGAGTAGAGAGTAAGCATTTTCACTTCTCCTCTACTCTCGCCAACGGAGAAAGTTTATAAAACAGTACTTTTTATGCGCACTAATGAATATTTTATGGAAATCTTCTAAGAAAAGTTGCAAAAAGTTGTCTACAATACCCTTTTTTGTGTCAAAGTTGCTTTATCTCTTTTCCTGCAACACCATCATGGTCTTCGCTTTAGAGTCATGCTGTTTTGAATTTGAACCGACCCTTTCTCATTTCATTTCCATGTTTTTTTTTTATAGTTATTAGTTTACGTTGTAAAACGAATTTTTACTTTTTCACACATTTTCTGCTGTTGCTGTTTTTGGATTTTTTCGTTTTGTCTCTCCTCATTTTTGGTAAAATTTTGTGCAGGTGCGAATGTGTGGAATTGAAAATGCGTAAGAGCAATTCCTTTCGTCTCGGTTTCCGTGGTGTAAAACTCTGTTGAAAGGGTGTTGTATAGAAAATTGTACTTCGTGCGTTCTCTTTTCATCTTTTCTAAAAAAATAATAGTTGTGACCTCAAACCAAAGATACAAATCATTTTTTTTCAATTTGATACTCAAGAAGAAATTTGGTGACCAACATCCAAAGCATGCTGATCTTATGTAGGAAACACCTCTCCAACCTGCTTACCCCTTAGCGAAAGTGTAACGTCCAGAGGAGATGATCCATATCGAAAGCAATCCAATAGACATATCGTTACTGGATTTTGAAGAAGTTCGATGCATATTCGACATAAATAGGGAAATAAAGCCTTAAATTCAATACAATAATAAAGGAATTCTCTTTACTTGACCAACAAATATATTTATATATTAATTTACAAATTAGTTGAGAATTGCCAGCAAAATTGTTATATGAAATAAACGAAATCATATTAATTCATATGGATTAAAAAATTAGTCTGGTAAATCTTCCAACTGCCACAGAAAGCTGCGATGTGGCGCTGTATGCCCTGGCATTTGTAACGGAAAGCACAGTTTTGTTGCCTAGTGCGGTAGAAGTATTTTAACCCATTAGAAGCTTTATGTGCATCACAATAGTATATATAAAAATATATAAAATCAATCCATAAAAAAGAAATAAAACTGAGTTGTGCAAGCGAGTTGCTGAGAGTGTAAGCAAACTATAAAAATTGTGCATAAAAATTAACTTCCTGCAATTTTTTTGAATTTCCCGTGATACCGTTAAATAATGGGACATTGTTTCTTGCCATATGTGTTTAATTTTGAGTGTAAATCACTTGCCAACAAGTTTTCATACAAACAGTTATAAATAAATGTAGGCACAAACAGAGTACATTGACTGCTCCCTCAACGGACGTGTCATGTGGCTATAACCGCTTACGCTCCCTACCCTGGACACACTTGTACAGATATCGCACATGAGTTACGGTTACAATATTTTATTGCTACAAAGCAATTTTCATAAATTTTCAACTAACACTTGCACATTTCAACACTCTGCTCTTATTTTCATTTTCATTTTCATTTTCAGTTCTTTTTTCTTTGCACATATTCCATATTTCCCCCTTTGTTGTTGTTGTTGTTCACATGTTCATGTTGTTGGGTTTCGGCACTCATTTTAATATCACTATTTGCTCACAAACACTATCCTGCCTGCCTGCCTGCCAGCCTGTGCCTGACGTGCCCTAAATGCAGATAGTGTTGATTGCCATGTGGCCACTGCCGAGCACAGCAGCACCGGCCGAGTCGAGCTGCGCTGAGCTGAGCAAAGTGACTTCAACAGCATGCAACGTGCAACGTTTTATTTTTTTTTTGGCCTTTTTGTTGTTTGCTCTTCTTCTGCTTCTTCTAGTCCTCTTCTTTTTGTTTACACTTATGTACATTTTGATATTTGCACGTCACACCAGGCGTTTGAAGCCAACTGAGCAGCCAGCAGCCGATGGCCGACAGCCGGCAGCGTGTAGCCAATGTCACCACAAGTGGCAACAACAAAACTAAATGCAAAGGCGGAGCGTAATGGCAACAGTAAGCATATAACCTACATTTCAAGATTGAAAATAACGGTACATAAATACAACTACTAAATACACAAGCCAAAGCGCTGAAGAGCGGAAGAGATGAGGCGGAGTCCGATGCTGCTGGACAGAAGACGGCGGTGTTGGTAGAGAGTTGCTGACGAAGCGTGAGCTGATGCTGGAGTATAAGCTCCTGGGGAGCTCGATGGTGCTGCACCGGAAATGTGTTGGATATGAGTGCAGCTCGGCAGTGGGTCTGCTTAATGTTCGCAAAGCGTGAGCCACATACCAACTAGAGCTTGTTGCGTGCAGTTTCCTACTAATGTATGAGTATCGGAGCATATGTATTGGTGTAGTGTGGTATGAGTAATATGGGCGGTGTGTCTCCCGCAATGGCACAAGGTTGCAGCAACGCCATTGTGGCGTCATTTGCATAATACTTGTAATGACAATGGAAACTATACGATGATGTTCATCTGTTCGGTGCCAGCCTCACATCTCTATGAGCGTGTTTGTGTATGTGCGTTTGTGTGTATGTGTATGTGTGATATTAGCGTATGGCATTGACGGTCCAATGCCAATTGCATACGGGTCAATGCTTTTCCAGCGAGCTGCTAGAGCAACTCTTTTTGTTCTTGTTTGCTCGGCATCTCATTACTTGCGACGACACCTCCCCACTTCTTTGCCATCACGACTGTCCTCATCTCTTCCCCTCTTCCTACCCACACCCCTATCGAACATGGCACATTTGAGCCCCCACATCGTACCGTTGTAATGTACCGGCGTCTCTCGAGAGGGCGTATGGATCTTCTTGCTCAGTCCGTGATGTTGCGAAGTTGGACTGGTAGAGGAGGGTGGTAGTGTGAGCAGCAGGACCACCCCGCAGGTGCATACTAAACATAGCAATATCGTTATCACGGCACAAGTGAAACGTTTGCGTTTTCGATGTGCCTCTTCATCTTCGTCTGTTTCGTCGCTGAGCGATTTCTTTTTGAGCGCCGCCTTGTGGGTACCGCCGCCACTCATTGAAGCCTTTCGTCCGGCTACTTTGTGATGGAATGGTCGTAGCACCTGCTCGAAAGCGGCATCGCTGAGTTCGTACGTCAGCGATGGCTTGCGTTCGAAAGATGGACGCTTCTCCTCCATAAATGCGGTCGCAGCCGCTGCGGAAGTCGGTGTGAGCGCTATTGGACGTGGACTGCGTTTGATGTCCTCCACAGTGCCGCCGACCGCACTTGATAATGGACGACTGTTGCGTCGGTGGGGTGAAGTGAGCTCGAACTCATTACCAGTCACGGCGGTGGGTGGATAGGGGCTGTCGCCAATGAAACTCTTTGATTTCTTGGTCGCACTGAGTGTTTCGCGGTATGTGCGTAGACGCATGCTGGCGCTATGTAGTGCCTTAGCTTGCTTGGTGCTAGCGCTGGCGTTTGTGCCTTGAAAAGCTGCCGCAGCGGCGAGCACACTCGGACGTTGGTGCACTTGCAGCTCTTCGAGGTTGTTCGGCGATAGGTATAGTGAGCGACCGTGTTGTGCGCCGCGTTTGAAATGATAGGCCGCGGTGGCAGCTGCAGCGGCGCTGTGCAACTGGAGCGCATGTGGCGAGTGACCGTGTGCTGCGGCTGCTGCAGCTGCGGCCGCCGCGGAAGTGGAAGGACGCCCATCCAATTCGAGGCTCTGTGAGCTGTGTTGACGCGTGTGTGGATGCTCGCCACGTTTCTTGAGGCTACTTGATGAGGTGGAAGGCGGGTGTGTGCCGCCGTGTGCTATTAGAGCTGCGCCGCTACCATCTTCGAAGGAGCCTGAGGTTTTGCGTGCCAGTAATACAGCGGCAGCGCGTTTTGCCGCAGCCACTTCCATGCCGATATCCTCCATCTTTGTGCCGCTGTTGCTGCGCGAACGTGATTCTACGAAGAGCTCGTTTTCGAGTGAGAGGGTTTGTTGCGGAAATAGTGACGCGACCGCACGACCCTCCAGCGATTCCATTAGCTCGTCATTAAGCGATGGATGTCGTATTTGCGAATCTACTACTGACTCCGGCTTGATGCTGGGCCGTCGGCCTGGATCGTTGAATGAGCGATGAGAACGACAGCCTCGACGACTGGGCGACGGTGAACGACTTAAATCTTTACTGCCACCAGCACCGCTGGGATGTCCAGGCATAAGAAAATTGCCACGCACCGAACTAGTACGTCTACTCGAGGACGCTGACGAGCCTTGTGAGGCTGCCGTAGCGGAGAGCAGCATCTGATCCATTGTGGCGGCGGAGTCTTGTTGTGCGTGAAACGAGTGGGTTTTCTTCATCTGAAAAGTGGAAGCCGGGTGTACGTCAATTGTGTCAGAGCGACGAAACATATTCTTTTTAAGCGGGTGCGTAGCGCTGACCGTATGTCGATGCGACGACGACGGCGGCAGCATATAGTCATCGATGAACTGTATGGGCGAACTGCTGCCGCCCCGTACGCCACCACCTAGTGCGCCCATATCTTCGCCCAGACTACTGCTGCTGACCAAGTAGATGTCCGGCTGGTGTGCCAACGGCACGCGCAGTGGCAGCGGACTAACCGCATGCGAAGTGGGTGAGTTCGTCGAGCTGGCATGGTGTTGCTGTTGCTGTTTCTGGTGTCGAGCCTGCGCCGCCATGCTCTGGAACGTGTGTAGGCTGTGTTGTTGCTGGTGATGTTGTTGGCGCGCCGACAATGCTGGCGAAACGGCACGACTACCATCCCCACTGCCACCGACACCATGCATCTTATGCCCAGGTATCGCGAGTGTTTGCGGTGGTGCAGAGCGCAGTGGTAGTGGTGAGGCGGAACGATGTATCAGCGGCTGTTCGATAATCATTGTGTCATCCAATATCATCGTGGGCGGTGAACCAGTGCCGCCACCACCCATTGGCGGTGCATAATTGTCAATGGCCATCGAGAGCGAACGACTGATGGCTTTCAGTTTGGGTGGCTTCTTCTTGGTGGCGGGATTGTCAAAGGAGGACTTGCCCGGAGTATTGTACTCGTAGTCCACGTCAGCAGCGGTGGCGGTGGCTTGGCCGGCGCCGTGGTGGGTCATGTAACTGTGGCCAGCAGCAGCGGTGGAGGCGGCGGCAGCATGTTGGTGATGGTGACTACTACCGCTGGCGCCGCGCTCCATACGGTAGTAATAGTGGTAGTGGGGGTGCCTATTATTATAGTAATGTGCAATTGTGGTGCTGGAGTGGGATTTGGCGGGCAGGAAGGGTTACAGTTACTATGGCGGTGTACAAAAACAACACAAAATTTACGGTGATGTACAAGGCGATAGCTGCTACTTGCTTTACTGTTACTTTTACTGTTACTTTTACTGTTACGTTGATGACAATTACGTTTACGTTTACGCTTACGTTTACGGTGACACTTAAAGTGCGTCGGTGTGATGGTAATTTTGCGTTTACTTGCGTTACTGGTGGATTACAAAAGACTGGTGGTGGTTGGCTGTTGGTTGAGGTGGTTTTGGTGGTTTTTGGTGGTTTTGGTGCTGGTGGTGGTGGAGGACGGGACTTTATAAGCAAAATAAGTGTTAATTAATTTTTAAAGGTGCTTATATTTTACTGGTGGTGGTTGGTGATTGGTGGTTGGTGTCTTTGCTAGCTGGAATTTGGTTGCTGGCTTGGGTGCGTACTTTACGAGTGATTTATTTGTATGTAGGTAAGTTATTACTTTACGATATGAGCGTTATCAAAATCTATGCACACAGACACATAAGTATTCAGTGGGTTGTTGTGTTTTTTTTTTTTTTTTTGTTTATAAAGGAATTATAATTTACGTTAGTCTTGGGTTTTGGAAGCTTGTAAAGCGTTTTAAGCGTTTGAGCGTAACTAAATTCAGTTAATGAGCGAACGAGCGAACGAGCGAGCGAGCGAGCGTCAGCAAAATATGCAAATTATATATATGTATATGTGTATAATATTTCTACTCGATTATTATTGTATATGTTGGAAGCGCATGTGCGTGAGACTTTCTACGTAAATACATATATATGTACATATATGTATATATATATAGTTAGTAATAGTTACGATGAGAACGAGCGTGCTTGCGTGGATGCGTGTGATCGAAAAAGTGAGAGAGCGGCTAAACACTACATTTGAGCTGTTGTTATTGTTATTGTTATTGTTGTTGTTGCTATGTTGTTACCAATTGTGCGCGTTCTGCATTTGTTGCGTTTGTACATCAGAGAGTCTTCTGCGTGCTCTTATTTTGCTTGCTCTTCCTTAACGCTTTCGCTCACTCTTCAAAGTGGTTTTATACATTTATCAATTTGTTTAGAATGTCATTGCTTTAAAATAAATTTATTTATTTATTTATTTTTTGATTTTATTTTCGTGCAGTTTGCTTGCTTTCGTTTTTTAAACTTGTGCTTTAGTTACATACATACTTTTAATTCTTTATAATTGAATAAAATTTTAATTTAGACATTTTAGTATTTACTTGGTGTTTGTCTTCCTCTCATTTATCTACTCTTACTCGTCTTTTTTGTTTCATTTATACACTGCTTCTTAATTAATACATATTTATATAAATTTGTGTGTGTTTGGTATAATTAGTGCTATCTCTTTTTATACTTTGCATTTATCACTTGGTGCAATTTGTGTCGCATTTGTTGCTTCAACATAACCATTTCGCTTTTAATAAAAAACAGTTATCACAACTAGAATTGGACGAGAAGAAAAAGAAAAGAGACAAAAATACAAATAGAGCATATTTATTGTTGTGATCTAGTATGAGTGCTAAAACGAATGGGAAAGTGAGCAAAAGCATTGAGTGTTGGAGTGCGTGAGTACGTGAGTGAGAACAATTAACAATTTGAATGTATGGATATTTGAGCTAAAATGAGTGTAATTTAGCCGATAAATTATGTGCGTGAGAGACAGAGAGGGAGTTGACAGTGAGTGAGATAGTGAGTGTGAAAAACTATCTAAATAACTAAAAAAATGAATTGCGTCATTGAGTACATTAGAAACGAGCCGAAGTGTTGGACGACAAGTGAAAGTGAATATGAGTGGGTGGAAATTGAGTGAGTGAAAGAAACTTAGCTTGGTTTTTTAATGAATAAATGAGTGAGTTAAAATTTAAAGTAGAAGTATCAAATGCGCGATTAAAAAATTAGTGTGATTTTTTAAATTTATAAGTTTCTTGAATAAATTGTGTTTATTATTGATCATGCAAATGCGATTATTTATTGAGAGTGAGTGAGTGGCACGGTCAGGTGAAACAGCATGTGAGTGTATGCAAATTTAGTGAGTGTAAATGAAATGCTTGTTACATGTAAGTAAGAAAGTTGGTGAGTAATTTCTATAGAAGGTGAAGTAGAGCAATATTTGTTTGCATTATAAGGTGCATTAGTAGTGGATTAGCAGTGAGTGAAAACATTTTGTAAGTAACCAATGGTGTTTTCAAGGAAAAGGCGGTTGAGCGTGAACTGGAGTATGTAGATGACCGAGTGGGTGAGTGAAAGGCTACGTGAAATAGAATGTGAGTAAGTCGAAATTCAATGTACCAGGATTGAAGTGCTTAAATGAGTGCAACGAAACATATGTGTAATATTCTTTGATTCTAATTTAGGCAAAATTTAAAAGAGTTAAGAATATTGAGAATTTTCGGAGTGAAATTCCGAAAAAAGTGTGCTCGAAAACTATATATATGTATACATAAATTGAGTATAATTTAAGTGAATATTGAGTGTAATAACACATAGCGACATTCGTGCATATGTGGTGAGAAATATTTCTCCCGAAAAAATATTTTATGTAATTTGTGTAACATAATGACACACCAAGTATTGCTATAATGAATAACTGTACTTTTAATACTTTTATAACTTATTTCGGTGTAAAGTGAAAACTATAAATAAAAACTGAATTTCTATACCTAAACGCCAAAACTAGATTTTTAACTTTTCGTTTATTTTTGATATTTTTTTTTACACTTACTCTGGTAGCATTAACTACATTTAGTAATCATAATTAAATATTAATTAAATTGAAAAATTATATATATTTTAATCTAACTTGTTTAAATAAGTCGAATAGTTACTTAAATACTTAATTGTTGATATTATATAATATTGGAATATGCATTAACAAGAGCTAAGCGCAAACCAAATCAAACTTTTCGCAGAATTTTAATTCATCACTAGTTTTTTTTTATTAATTTTTTCATAACTGTTTCTTCTCCATTTTTGTGCTTTCGGTCAACTCAATTAAATTGTACTTGTAGCCCAAAGACATTTACATGTATGCATATTCGTTTTTGATTGATGACTTATCTGCATAACAATAAACCGTTATCACATCCGTATACGTTTACACACATAAATATCTTCATACAAAAAAAAAAAGAGTACAACAAAAAGAGAAAAAATTTGTTATACTTCTCGAGTGTGTTTTTTTGCTCATCAAATTTTCATCAAATATTTCTTTTCACATTCAAAGTCACCGCAAACATTTCAACCGGGACCTCAGCACACTTGTCGGGCAGTTGCCATAAATAATGTCAGGCTTGTGTGTGTGTGTGTGTGTTTGTGTGTGTGTGTTTGTGTCTGCGACATTTGAAGCATGTCGTGTGGTCTCCTGCTGCAAATTCACTCACTCACTCACTCACTCACTCCCCCGAATCTTCGTAAGACAATTCATCATCTGTATCTGTCCGCACCGCGTGACGGACGTCCGTTAGTTGGTGAGTTTGTCATGGTTGGCGCTGGTGTTGTTGTTGCTATATTTCGTATATATAAGCTTGCATGCCCTGCACAGTTATTAGAATATATGTAGATGTTTGTTTGCATGAATGTGTGTCCAAGTTGGCAGGATTTCCGTTGCGAGCTAACCCTAAACGGAAACTTTAGAGGATAACCTCTGTTTGCTGTTATTTCACACAAACTACAAGCATCACATCGTAAAGAGTGACGCCATTATTTAAGTGTTTTTGGTTAAATTTGTTAAACACTTTCGATTACTCCCTTTGGGGTTGTTTGTGTAAATGTACTTATGCGCTTTTAAAAGTTAGCGTAGAGCTAGGCAGGAAGTGGATTTTGATAGTCTAAAGACAGTAAACCCCAAATGAGGCAGCAAATAGGTAAATTGATTGACTTTATGCCAAAATTGTTGTAAATTAAGTTTAAAGTGATAATAAAAATTAAAATTCGAAATTTAATTGAAAACAAAGTACTGGGAAAAACTCAAAAATAAAAGTAATAATTTGTGAATATTTTTAAAATTAATTTAAAAAACAAGTACAGGTATAATATCATCAAAATTTTAATATAACTACATTGTACAATAGTAAAAAAATGATAATAAAACTAATATATTATTTAAAAAGACATTGAATGAAATTAGTAAATAATGATTTTTTTTCAAACGTTTGATTTTTAAAGAGGCCAAATCTTCTGTCGATTGGTCTTTATGACAGCCATTCCTTGTCCTACGTTCAGTTTAGTTTTCCTTTTAAAAATAACAGAACAATGTTTGTTAACCGTTCAAATTTCTAACCAAAATAATGGTACGGCAACGCATGCTGTTTTCAATATTCAACTAACAAATTGCCACCACCAAGTTGGTAATTTGAGCAACCCCAGGTTCGTTTTGCACAATATTTACTCTGGTGGACAATGCACATCCTTAGAGATGCCGTACAGTGGGCATCAAAAACGGAGAATATTAAAGGAAAGCCGAATGAGTCCATCTGCCAAAGCGCACAATACAATTGGAGCTATGCCGCTGAACTTTACGGTAGATTTTGCACCAGGATCTTGGATTAAGGACTTACAAATCCAACTCGTACAAGAATTGAAGCCGATCCACCATCAAGTGCACGTTCGGAAAATGAGCCCATAATGAGATACCCACCATACCCGATTTTCACAAATATTTCTTGTCCAGCTCACTTTTGTTTGAATGGGTGCGTTAACAAACAAAATTATGACATCGAAAGCGTTGATGATCCGCATCAGCCATTGTTAAAACGCCGTTACATCCTCAAAGAGTCACTAATCGCTGTGCTGTACTTATAGAAGGAATCAATGGTCCATATTTTTTCAAAAATGAAAACTGCCATAATATTACAGCCAATGGGGAGTGTTTTAGAGCCGTGGTTAATAAAATGCTGGACTATTATTTGTGACTTAATGCAAAGT